CCGCTCTCCGTTTGCCTGGCCGTGCGGCCCGGGTTTGTCGCCTCACCTTCTCAGCGCCCAGCGGTCGGTCGTGTGGCGTGACTTGAGCCCCGGCGCACCAGCCGCTTTCGTGCGCGTCCGTGACGGATAGGATGGCTTCTTGCCCGGGGCTCGGCAAGCCAACGCCCCGTCAGAGCCGAGATCCTTTCTCAGGGCTCGTATTTCCCATGCCACGGGTAAAAATAAGCCGCCTGACTCGTACAAAATTGTAGACCTTGTTTGACTAAACCCTGCCTTCTCGCCCGCGGGCTGCTTATTGATCTGTTCCGTTTGCGCAGAACGGTGTGCAGTAGGAGCCCTAAGCTGTGCCTAGTGGAGCTGGTTCAGCTGTAGTACAGCATAGCTTGCTCCATAAACAGAGCAGGGGCAAGAAGAGAACTTTGTAAAGCCACGTGAAGTGAAAGTTGTGTCTCACCTGCTATGTTTTACCGTTGCCCAAAAGAGAATATTGATGTGAGTACTGAGTCTGTCACTTTTCAGAAGTGCAACTTCACCCTAAACTGCCTGTATTCCAAGGGAAAAAAAAAAAAACAAAAAACCACGCCAGGACATTGCAGGCCTGTCTTTTTCACTTTTTTCTTTCCTGGTAGTTATCCTTAGTCCTGGTTGTTTTCCCATCTATTTTGCAGAAAAGATTACTTCAGTTTTCTTGTGTTTTGTCTTGCTATACTAATCAAGCTTATTCATTTTAATCTGCTTCCGCGCTTTGGATTGTTCATCTTCCTGAGACTCTTTAGAAGCATCTGTGTTTGGTGCATGGTAATTCTGTGACCAAAAAAATGATCTCAAATCAGGGTGAAGAGCCCCACCTGAGATGGGTGTGAAGTATGGATCTAAGCTAATAAATAGAATTCCTGTTAGAAGGAAGCTGGGTACAGCAAAGCACAAATGCTGTTAGTCATCTCGTGAGGCTTGGATGCAGAAGAGCTTAGGAACCTTTTACCTTTTTTGGCTTACGGAAACTTCCTCAGGGTGCAGAAGTTCCTTCTGCTGTAGAAAAGATTATCTTTTAGTCCACCATGAATTTGTTTTGATGTTTATCATTTTGGTCTTTGTTTTGCCAATTCTGTTTGCTGTTCTGGCACTTGTCTGTATTGCAATACCTTTCACATGCGGCTCACTAGTGTGTTATTTTTACCAAAGTGTTTTTTAATGTGGAATCTTAAACACCATCAACATTCAGCTGAGTAATCTGTTTAATCTCAAAAAGTAGTCTAAGTGATCAGATAGTACATTCAAAATACTGATTTGCACCATTTTGTAAAGAATTTATTTTCCATGCAACATGGAAAAATAAATTCTCCAAGATTTCAGTCAGAATTAAGGTCACACCTTTCTGTATTGAATAATGTTTCTAAACTTGATGGGGTTCTATTTAATTCAGTCAATTTTTGGCTTCATTATAGTGCCTGACTTCCAAAATATTGAGTTTAGTGCTTCTTGAGAAGCAACATGCAGGATTTTTTTTTCCCCCGACTAACATAGTCTTCCAAGTCGAATGAAAGACTGTTAACCAGGTGCTATAGCTCTACATAATGTTTGTGTGCTGAATTAGAAGCTATGGCACTGTCTACTTGCTTTATTTAAAAACACATCCTTTTTTTACACAGTTTGTCAAGATAAAAGATTAAACTGGTTTTAGCAATGCAGCCCTTTTTTTACACCAACTGTGCCAAAATAGGATTGGGACTAAGAGTAGATGATTTACTGAAAAGCTGCAAAGCATGTGATGCAACTGAGGAGACAAATGAATTGATATTTTGAGTGAAAAAAAAAAAAGTAACATGACCTGGCAGGCTAGATGACTCAGCATGGCTAACTGAATCTGTTTTATGTTTTTTTGCCTAGTACTTGAGTAAGGATGCCTTAAGAAGATAACTATGGATAAATATATTAAAGTGCAAAAGATTGGAGAAGGATCCTTTGGGAAAGCAATTCTTGTCAAAGCTAAAGAAAACGGCCAACAGTATGTTATTAAAGAAATAAACATCTCTATGGTGAGTGATTATTATTAATTACTGAGCCATTCTTTTTGTATTCCTGTTCTCAAAAATCATTGTTTTCCTTCTAAAGATGTCAAATAAGGAGAGAGAAGAATCGAGGAGAGAAGTCGCTGTATTGGCTAACATGAAACATCCAAATATTGTCCTGTATAGGGAGTCATTTGAAGGTAAGATTAATTAATATGGTAAAACCTGAGGTGATGGCAGTAAGTGGCTGTCTGTGCACTACTTACTGCATGTAGTTGAAAAGTCAGTGTGTTTTCTCTCTTCAGTCAGGCTGTTTCATACTTTTATTACTTGCTTCAGTTCTTTTTGGTTCTATTTTTTCTCACAATTCCTCTTTACATTTAAAAATAACAGTAATTTTTTAAAAGTGCAACAATTAAACAGAAGTATTCTTGCTTCTTCCTTAAATGCATCAATTTTGATTGACACTTAAGTGAAGAGGTTATGTTGTCCTGTTTCTGCAGAGTAGAAGTCTCCTTGTATACTCTAATGACTTGACTGCTTGTGTGTCTTAAGTATGAGTATGGTCTAAATTTGGATATTAATAACCTATCAAGAGCAATTTTATTGCAGCCTGTTGTCTTAAAATTCAGTCTTTACCAGTAGTTACAAACATATCATTGCTTTCAGAGCTGGAAAAACAGATAGTGCTGTTTGCTGTATCAAGCTATGAAGAAGGAGAAATATAATTCCACATTGTTTTCAGAGGGAATGTCTCGGCAGATGAGCGGAACAGACAAAAGATTCCACCAGCCTATCATATAGGTTAAAATATTATTAAAAAACCTAAATATTATTTGAGGTACTTTTTAGGAACACCGCTCTTTTCTCCTTTCCTCCCTTTCTGCTGGTTTTCGTATGTCTTTTGATGGGGGGCTTTTGTGTTTTCCTAGTCATTAAATTATAATTTTGTGCCATGATCACATTGCACAGTCATAGTCTTCTGATTTATAAATCCACGCTTCTGTCTTCCCTGTAATAGAGGCCTGTTCTTTAAGGCTGCTTTTCTTTCTTCTGCTTACGAGGTAGATTTTGTAATCTGTAGTTTGCAAGACTTGATGTTGCATCTTTATTGCTAAAGGACATTGACTGTGAACAAGCTGAGTTGGTTTATAAAAGAGAATTAGTTCAGCAGCCAGCCTGCAAGAAATCCGGACTCCTAGAGTCATCTTTTGGAATAATACCAATTTTGAAACTTAACCAAGATACAGAGAGCTGTTAGCAAAAAAAGAAAAATCCTGGGTTCGATGTTTTGGAAGACAGATGTCAGAAGGATTCTGCAGGAGTGAAATTTAAGCAACTTAGATGATTTAATTAATTTTGACTTTCTTTAGACTTTTTAAGTGCTATGACTAACTCTTCCATAAAATAAGAGTTTTTCTTTTGAGCAGCATGCGATTGATTGATTTTGTGCATTTATTCATCTCTTCTCAAAGTCATGCCTAATATGTGAGTAGTGTAGTTCTTACATTTTTTGGTAACTTGCGATTTGCTGCTGCCTGATCATTTTTTTCTTCATCAGTACCTGGAAAAGATTCCATTGGGGTACGAAACTGTAACTTTGTAAGAAACATATTATATATGTTCATACCTCCTATGGTAAACTTGCATAGGATTTTTCGAAGTCTCCCCAAACTTCATTCAAAAATGAGAAAAATAATCATTTCCATCTGTCATTGCCTGCTGCAAGTTTTGTTAATGTTCCTCGGTCTCTGAAATGAACTGTATGTCTGCTATGAGAGCTGATGATTGTTGCTTTCTTGAACTTAGTGTGAGTCATACCGTGTCCAGGTAAAACTCCAAGAAAGGATTTGGCAAATAGAGGCAACTGCCTGAACTGGAAATTAAAATCTCTATTTGTAGGGTAGGGGATCTCTAGAATGTTTGAAAGCAGGTTGAAGAATGGTTTTATATTTATTCATAAAGTGACTTGAACCCCATATTGCGGCATTGG